GAGCACATGCTTTCATGGATTTTGCACTTGCAGTTTAATCATAGAAATCATTCTGCACGGTTCTACTTCTAATGATCTGATTGTTAGGAGAAAGGCTGGCCCCAGTCCTATTGACTGTTTACATCCGAATGTGCTCTGTTTTTTAAATCTATTTCCAAACTAACTGTGGTTCTATTGTGTGATATTTCCTCTGCAGCATCACACATTTTCAGTCAGCATCAGCTCCTTAGCCATAATCACTTCCTGCCTTGGCTTCTGTTCAGTCCAGTAACTCACTGCAAAACAGAGCTCCCATACATCCAGTCTGTATGTATGAAATGGTATAGATGCAGCGGTATTTAGGTGGCACTTGGCAAGAAATGGTTTGATTAATTGGAAATGCTATTAGCTGAGTTTGAGACAGCTATAGATAGCAAGGGGGGTTATTGCTACATGTTTTTCCTGGTCTTTTGCATGCATGTTGCTTTGAATACAATTTTGACAATCTACCCCCTGTATCCGAGGACACTACATCACCTACAGTTGGTCAATGCGAATGCTGCAGATCCCAGCCATACACCACCAGCAGCTCTGACCAGGCTGCAGAAACATCACATTCATCTGCATACAGGTTTCCATCTGCATCATAAGCAGACTTGAAGTCTGAAATTACACAAGTGAGAATTCCCAAAGATTTAAGCACAAAAATACAAAGCAAGAACCGTAATTAAAAAGTAGCATTTTAGGATAGGAAGCTTCCATTTGCCTTAAAATATTTCTGTGAATGTTTTCTCACACATTCTCGGTATTTCTCATGAGTAATGTGCAGATACAACATCTGTATCTGTGTTAAAGGGAATTTTACTACAATGATCACTGCTGTAAAGCCCAACTTTGTTCATATTCAACAGGTTTCTATCCTGCTTATCTCTATTTTTTATGGATTATGCTACTTAAAATCCAGTTTCTTTATTTCTCCACCTGAACACTTTTCACTCCTGTTTCTATGCAGAGCACTGTAATCACCACTGCTGACTTCAACACTAAATTAAAAATAAGATAGAGTATAAAACAACAAAAAGACTTCAGGACAACCATTAAAGATGTTTCAGTGGACAAAACCAGTACATGCACATGTTCTTGCACTCCCTGAAGTAATGAACACCTTTTATCTAAAACTGCAAGTAGCAGGAAAGAAGTTGAGCATTGAGTGAAATTTTTTGGCATTCGGTGGCACTGATGGTTACTGATTTAAGGCTGAAAAGCAGCAGCACGTTGTTCTACGCAAGTTTGAGTTCCTGGAACGTGCTACAAGGCTCCAGGAAGGAAGATATTACCGTGTAGATAAGGTCTTGCTTTTAGTGCTAGCAAGGAGTTCTTGGCAAAAGTCTGAATGCTATTGTGTTTTTGGCTTTGATTTCCACCTGCGTCAGTGGAGCTTTTATTTTCTTCAGGGAAAATGCTGCTGATGTAAGAAATATCAGCATTTCTGCCATTACTGTAAAAATTACTGTAAAAAAAAGGCCCCTGAAAGGGACCCTAAGACAAAACAGAGCACACTGAAAGAGCCTACCAGGAACAGGATTTCCAGGACAAACACCTGGCTCTTTACTATCTTCTCTCATATGTTTTTAAGCTAAGTCTGGTACAAGTTTCCCCTCTCTCATCTCAAGGTTTTATCTATGACCTTCTGGCATATCTGGGTTTCATGATTGTTTGTGAATACCTAGTACTTGAAGAATGCTTTATTATTTGAGCAACAGAGAAGCTAAAACTAATTGATATGACACAGCTTTTCTGGATCTTTACTGCAACTGAAGAACGTTTCCACTTTGAAAAAAACATCCACAGACTTATTTTCATTATTCTAAGAATAAACTGCAGTTTACCCAACTGTAAAGCAGAAATAAGAACCCAATTATTAAAAATTATTAGAGTTGCTTACACAGGTGCCAAAATGTATCATAGACCAAATATAACTAGCAAGCATAAATCATCTTGTGTTTCATAGGCACGACTCACATTAGTAGTTCCCCTGCTGTCAAGATGCATACAGAAGCTTCACACATGCTGAGCTTCCACTCTACTCTTCCTCTTCCCTTGCTGGGGACTAACATTCTCTAGTTTTGTTTTTCAGAATCACTAATACTAGGCCATCACTCTATGTCCACTTTCTGGTTTCAATCCCACTATTTTTTCCTACTTTGATTCATTTATGAAAATAATGACATAAAATAGTTACTCTCATCAGTGACCTGTTTTCCAGCTTGGACGGTGCTATAGGCTTGATTCAATGAAATACTGAAATAATGAAAATACTCTGGTTATCATTCAACTTCCTGCATGAAATACTGTTTATTGAGTGCTTCTCTGAACCATATACTTACAGGGACCCAGTTAGCCCCTATAGATTAAAGCCCCAGTAAGTTCACAAGGCTTTAATTGCATATTATAATTTTAAAAAGCATATAAAGTTCTAGATTTGATTTCAATAAACCCCTTCTGACTATGTCTGCTGGCCTTGATCCCTTCACCAGTACATCCAGAAGAGGCTTTGGTCAAATCCAGACCTAAACCAATGGCATCAAATTGAAGGAAATGTTGGAGCAGAAATTGAAACAAAATGTGAACATAAGCCAAAAATCACAACTCTGAAAAACTTTACATTGCTGATAAGCATAAAAGCAAGCAACTTCCACGGGTTTTGGTTTTAAGGTTTTAGATAGAACTTTACTTCTGAGCAGGGCTCCATCTCAGCAGGGCTCAGTTACTGCCCACAGTCCCAACCAGTCCTGTGAGCTGGCCATCCTTTGCCTATCTCATTGTAGAAGTCAACTTCACAATGCTCTGCATATAATCAACCCATTTTCTGGGCCAGCACTTTTTGTTAGGATCCTTTTCGAAAAGGGAGCTTAAATTTACCTTTCTCAAGATAGAGAATGCTCTAAGTTTAGATTAGCCTGTCAGAGCAGATACAACTTTCTCAAGCTGTAGGTCCTCACAACTCTGGGCACACAGAGGATCTCAAGCCCAGAAAAAGTGCATGCAATAGCTGAGGTAACTCTCCTGAAGGGAAGACAGGGTTTGCAATCTGTGTTTTAAACAGCAAACTCTGTGAAACTCATATTCCAGATCACGCTTCAGCAATTTCTGAACGACCTGGATTTCTCATCCAGTCAGTCCCTGGATTTTATGGATAAACCTCACTACTGTGAATTCCAGTATTGTATCTGAGATCAGCACTTCAAGGATAAAGTAGTTTCAACTCACATCAGCAGCTCATCATATTTTAAATCTTTAAACAAATACAGGACCAAGGAGTTGCCTTGCAAATGATGTGCTCAAGGCACATGGTCTCCATATGCATTAACATTCCATGACTCAGCTTCGAACTTAATTCCTCAGCTACAAAGCAACAGATTTCCACAGTCTTTCCAGTGCTTCTACACAAGTGTTCAACTTGTCTTTCAACTATAACCCTCCTAATACACCCAAGGCTGAGTAGAGCATTAAAAATCAGCTCATCCTGATACTCCTCTTTGCCTCTGCATTTTTTTTCTGCACTCTAAAGTAGCTAATTTAATAATCTTTCTTTGTTCTTTATCATTACTATTCACTTTGTTTTCTCTTGTGCCAATATCAGCATTTCAGTTGCCAAAGGGCTTTTTTGTTGACTGTTTAATGAAACTGATTGATTCTTTTGACTTAACTAATTACAGCCAGATTTTACTGACTTTTGGCAATCAGAGAAAACCCCCAATTTGCCTGATTTGATGTCTGCTCAGTAATTCCCTGCAGAAATGTGGACAGAAAACTACAACACATTACTAGATCACAAGATGGATAAATATGAAAAAAGGTTAGCAGGGCTTTGCATGCTTCATCAAGAAGAATCTCAGAAAACAAGCTGGAAGTTACAAGAACTGAGAGACAGATTTTATGAAGAACAAATATTTTCAGTTCAATGTATTTGGTTTCCAATGAACTTGCAATGAAAAGTACCGAATCCCACTTAATATTAAAATCAGTATAAACCCCTCAAACTTGCACATTAAATTTTTTTTTTTGACAGCACATTTTTAGAGGGAAAAAACACTGGGCCTGTTGGCACACTCATGGACACAGAAAACAGCTTTGTTCAATAGTACTGACTTCCTTTTGCTGCCACCATACCAGCATTTCTGCTGGGTAGTCAATAGGATGTGGCCTAAAACACACTACACTGCAGAGCTTGTCCCACCTTAACTTGGCTGTTGCTGGTTTGTAAGCGGCCTACATGTGATTATGATTACATGAGACCCTTATATTCAATATTGCAGCAAGTTTTGTTGAAAATAAATAACTTACCTACCAAAAGTACTCTGGTGTCTTCTAAACTACACTCTAAGATAATGGTTACACATTAGCAAACACGCAGTTCTCCTTCTGTAGATCTTACCCACATTTTGAGCAACATGACAGCTGCTGAAAGGTGAAGACAGAGAATGAGTTGGTCTCATTCTCTTAAAGGGCTTCAAATAAATGTATGTATTTGTTTTAAGTTTTGTGCTCCTGCTCAAAAGTCGTTCTTTCTCCAATTTAATTTCTCCACAAGGATTAAGCCATTAAGAACTCCTGCACCTCCAGTATAGTTTTGAGGACTAGAGAACAATCTCTGATAAACAACAAAAATGTATTATATGAATAAGCCATTAATTTGACTGTGAAAGCTTTCAACATTCTTCCTTTCTACACTAAACACACACACACACAAAAAAAAACAACCACAAGGAACAGTTTTCTACTTATGGCCAGAACTACACTTAGAGATGGTTAAACGGACTATTACACATCTACCTCCACATAATCCTGGGTTAATAGAAAAGAGCTTGGTTTAACTTCAGGAGTGAGATCTTATTTTAAGAACAAGGTATATTTACACACTATCAGGACCATCACTGATATTGATTGCTTTTGCCAGCATGCATTTCCCAGTGAACTCACACAGCATAAAAACCCAAAGGAAATCCAATGAAAGTATCTTTAGTAAAATGTAGAAACTTTAATTTACATGCAAAACTACAACATATTCATAATAAAAAACTGGTGTCTAAACAAACACAATTTGTAAAAACTGTCCACGTTGTTAAATAGGTCTGTACAACCAAAGATTTACAAAGTCCCTGTGCATTTTCATCTTTTCAGTGCACAACTGAGTTTAGGGGTTCTGCTCGAATATTCCCCAAGTCAAGAGCTGAATCCGTCTCTTCATCAATTTCACCAATGACAGCACTAAAATAAAAAAAATGAGGTTATTATTCCTTAATCACGCACTTCTAAAACAGAAACTGTCTTTTTCCTTTTAACAACCCTTATTAGCTGTTAATCATATTGACTTTTTCTGATTGATGCTGCATGTTCCCTGCAAGCTTCTAGTGATGCACACTGGAACGTATGGAAGCACTTTATATTATGACTGCTTCTTCCCTTTTATTTTCCAATACCTTCCCTATTTTATGAGTTGCCTATTTTGAAGTTACTGTTACTTAGCCGTTGATTCTTTTTACTTCTTCCTATAAGAATATTAAATGTCAGTTTGTTAAGAGTTGCAAGAATACTGAATTATTCCTTGTAATGGGTACATTTCCAAGTTTGTTAAGTTTGCAAAAAAATTAGAATAAATTCTATAAAAGAATATTTTGAGTATACTTGAGTATTGTAGCCATCTGGTATGATGAAAGAGTGAAGCAGTAAACAATTACTTGGCTTTTTATACACGTTTATAGTATGTGAATGAAAAGTTACTGGTAGAGTAGCATGCTTAGTCCTACCTTTGCACATGTGTCAATTTACTTTTTTTAAAAGCCTAAGTCAAATGTGATGAAAGCATTCCAAAATGTCTCAACGATGTCAGATAAATGCACCTAGATATAAATTTAACTCTTGATATTTCTTTGTACAGAAATATCCACTAGAATTAGAAGATGAAAACTCCTATCCAGGCTCACGTGTTGGTCACTAAAACATACCCTTTTTCTAGTTGTGATTAAAAAAGGAATATTATTTTTGCCATCAGTTTCAGAATGCTGCTGCAAAAGTAATCTTCCTAGCAGGCCCACTTACCAGGCTTTCTTTCCACTTCTGTTGTAACCCTCCCATGTGTTGGGCACATCAGTTACTTTTCTCTGCATTTACTGAGCTTTTACTCTCATTTTGTAAGCATATTTTACATCAAGTATCAACTCGTACATTTGACCCACTAGATCAGGTTGCTCAGAGCTCCATCCAACCTGGCACTGACCACTTCCAGAGATGAGGCATCCACAACTTCTCTGGGTAACCTGTTCCTGTGTCTCAGCACCTTCTGAGTAAAGAATTTCTTCCTAACATCTAATCTCAATCTTTCCTCTTTCAGTTTAAAACCACATTTAACATTACAATGCAATCACTTCTGCAACGTAAATGTAGGTGATTGCTCTTTAATACATAATCAGAGTCATCTAGGTCTGAAAAGACCTGTAAGATCAGGCCCCGGCACTGCCAAGCCCACCACTAAACCCTGACTCTAAGGGCCACTTTTACACATCTTTTAAATATCTCCAGGGATGGTGACTCAGACACTTCCTTGGTTGCCTCAGCTTTGACAATACTTTGACAGTACAGTGCTACTCACAGATACAAAGGTGCAAGGTGTCTGGGGCTATCAAGATTTATACAGATAATATACATATATACACAAACACATGCACACGCACATACTAAGTTCATATGAACAGATTTAAACAAGGACATGGTATACTTACACATTATCACCTCTTACAATGTATAATCCCAGCACTACTTGCTCAACTCCTTGTGAAGAACTGAACACTCGTTCATGGCTTTCATCCAAAATCAAGTTGATGGTCTGATCAAAACCTTTGAGTGTTCCCTGAAAACAACATACAAAAATAAAGCACTCCAGTTAACTCTTAAATTTATCATCTTTGCTCTCAAAGATATTTAAACAAGGTAGCAAAATTAAGGTACTAGAGAATAGATATTCTATTTAGGTTTTATTGTTTGGCTTAAACACAAATAGCCAAAGGAAGTAATTTTCAAAGAAATAATCAATTTAAGAAAAGTGCACATTTATTACTGAGTGTTCATGCTGAAAGCTAAAATAGGCTTTAGTATTAAAAGAAGTAAAGTTTCCCTTGTATCAGTGACAGACCTCTACAAACCTAATTTTACTGTTTTTACACTGTTTTAGTCTTCCTTGTATGGAAGTTTCTAGAAATCAAATATTTAACTAAAACAAAAACCAGAAAAATTGGATTCTTGTGGTCAACAATACTGAAACCATTCCTAATAAGCAATTTTAAGTGGTATCTCTGAAGTAAATTATTTTGTGTTTAGTAAATTAAAATTATCATGCTAATATTCATTTACATCATCTAACCACATAGCAAGGAGTCATGTATACCAACTCCATTCAAATCTTTTTGGTACAAAGTATCTTGTAGCACAACACAAAGTTTATCAGACTGACTTCAGACACACAGATTTGGTGAGGCCAGCAGTTTTTCTGTTTTTCCAGAGGCTGCATGAAGCTAAGTACAGACAGAAAGATACAATCCTCATGCAACAATCACATTGTTAAGTTACACTCAAAACACATACGCATAAAGGTGTGTGTGAGGGGGGAAGTGATGCAAGAAAAAAAACACAAAACACAGAAGCAATAAACCCAAAATATTATACAGTCTAATATATAAGTTGGCCAATCCTCAGGTTTTCAGGCATAAACAAATCCCACAGCAATTCTCCAGAAATTCTCCAGCCAATGCTGGAAGAAATGGTTCTACCATGAAAGCTCAAAAGCTTACAGGACAAAGAGGACCTTTTAGATAGAAATCAAATTACTGAAGAGAAATGCATTTTCTTGTGCATTTCCACAGAAAACTTAATTTGACAAAAAAGTCAAAGCATGTGTATGCAGAAATTTATCAACGGACAAAGCTGATGTGCAAGAATCAGTAAGCATTTACAACATTTTTTTAAGCCTTATGGCCATTATTCTGTACTCTATGATTTAAAGGTGTGAATATGTAACTGAGAATATCCTAACACAGCTTCTTTATTGCCATGATGGAAAATCTTTATGGGGGAAAATAAAATGTTAAAAAATACAAGTCTTACCACAATCATTCTTCCATCAGAAGTAATTACTGCAACAGTACCTGGTAGTTTATTAAGGAAATGTTTAATGATACCTGAAATAAAACCATTATGATTTTCTGAGACATTCATATGTAATATAGGTTTTAAGAGCCATTAGGAGCCAGAAAAGCCTATCAGCATTTTTTTTTAAAGCAGCATGGTTGATAGTAGCAATTGACAACACAGCATTTTTATGAAAATCTCCTTTAAAGTTTCACTTCACCTAACCATGGACAATCATACACAAACATGAACAGCATTAAAACCAGAATAAAGATTTGAGTTTGCCTCTCTTCCCATTACTAACTGCATTGCCTCAAAATTGCAAAAACATAAACAGTTTTATGAACACTTTAAGTCCTTAAAAAACTGCTCTGAAGTGGTGATCCCAAGCCTAGCATTCTCCATCTCCATAATATCTCATTATCCCAATTGGGTGACCACATATCCATCATCCTGAATAGTTGCGGGTTACTACCTTACTGTTTGTGAATAAAATTGAAAATGCCCATGGGTTACAAGAAGTACAAAAAAAACAGCACGAAAAGCGTTCCAAGAACCCCAAGTCCCGGGTTTTGAACAAGTGATGCAAAGCTGGTAACTAAAGGCGCGTTAGGAGCTCTTGGGGGGGCAGGCCCACCGCGAATCTCGCTCTTCACCACGGATCGTGCAACGCTGCGCTTTGCAGCACGGGGTGCTGCTGGGGGACCCTGTTCTCCGAGTGACCTCCTGTAACTCGCTCTGCCTGCGAGCCGATTCTCTCTTCGGAAACCGACACTCCGGCCGGGAAGGGCCCAAGCAATGCAAAGCCGCCACCAGCCCTGCCCTCAGGGCCCGCGCCGCCAGGTCCTCCCGTCCCGTCCCGTCCCGTCCCGTCGTCCGCCCCCGTCCCCGTCCCCCCGCCCCCGCGCCACGCGGAGCGGGAGGCCGGTCGGCGTCCCGCGTCCGTGCCCGCGGCGGATACGGTTGATGTAGTTCTCCAGCGCGGAAAGTCATGGCGGCGACCCGCACGCCGCTCAGCCCCGCGCGCCTCTACGGCGCGCGACGCTGACGCGCGACCCGGCGCGCAGGCGCACAGCCCGGCGGCCGGGCGGGCGCCGGGCAAGCCTCGGGCACGGGGAGATGGGGCGCATGATGCAAGCAGAGAGGCGGTCGGGTGGCGCGGACGGGCGGCAAAGGGGGGGGGGAGAGGGGGGGGGGAGTGGGGTTATCGCGTCCCCCCTCCGCGGGGATGGCCGGCCCCTCACACAGCCGCCCCTCCGGCCCCTCACACAGCCCGCAGGCACTGCGGAGGGGTTTGGCCGGGGAGCGGTGGTTTGGCGTGGAGCAGGAGGGCTGTTTTCCTGCCCAGCCGAGTGCCTGGCTGCCTGGGTGTAGCATTTGTGGTTGCCGGCTCATTGTCCACATGGAGACCAGTGACGAGTCGTGTCCCTCAGGGGTCGGTTCTGGGCACAACACTGTTCAGCATCTTTGTTGGTGATGTGGGCAGTGGGATCGAGCGCACTCTTGGCAAATTTGTGGTGACACCAAGCTGTGTGGTGCAGTTGACATGATGGTAGGAAGGGATGCCATCCAGAGGGACCTGGATAGGCTTGAGAGGTGGGGCCATGTGAACCTCATGAAGTTCAACAAGACCATATGCAAGGTCCTGCGCTTGAGTCAGGGCAATCCCAGACACACCAGCAGGCTGGGCAGAGAAGTGACTGAGACAAGCTTTGCAGAGAAAGACTTGGGGGTGACTGTAACCCCACAGGTGATGGTTGATGAAAACTCAGCGTGAGCCAGCGGTGTGCGCTCACAGCCCAGAAAGCCAGTCCAGTCCTGGGCTGCATCAAAAGCAGTGTGGCCAGCAGGTCAAAGGAGGTGATTCTCCCCCTCTACTCTGCTCTGGGGAGACCCCACCTGGAGTACTGTATCCAGCTCTGGGGCCTCCAAGATAAGGAGGACATGGAACTGTTGGAGCAAGTCTAGAGGAGGGCCCTGAAGTTGATAAGAGCACTGGAGTACATCCTCTGTAAAAGCAGGCTGAGGAAGTTGGAGCTGTTCAGCCTGGAGAAGAGAAAGTTGTGTGGAGACTTCATAGCAACCTTCCAGTATCTGAAGGGGGCCTACAGGGAAGCTGGAGGGGGACTCTTCATCAGGAACTGTAGCGATAGGACAAGGAGTAATGGGTACAAACTGAAAGAGGGGAAATTTAGGCTAGATATTACGAATAAAGTCTTTACTGTGAGGGTAGTGAGATACTGGGAGAGGTTGCCCAGGGAGGCTGTGGGTGCCCCAACCCTGGCAGTGTTCAAGGCCAGGTTGGATAGGGCCTTGAGCAGCCAGTCTAGTGGGAGGTGTTCCTGCCCGTGGCAGAGTGGGTTGGGACTAAATGATCTTTAAAATCCCTTCCAACCCTTAAACATTCTATGATTCTTGCTAATATGGGAATCACGTGAATCCTCCTTTGGTTCCCTATGGGCTGCCGGTGTGAGGTGGGCAGATAGGAGGCCTGATTGCTGCCCCTTCACAGTGCCCCAGTGTTGTGGTTTAACTCCAGGCAGCCACTAAGCCTTACACAGCCCCTCGCTCACTCCCCCACCAGTGGGATCAGGGGAAGAATTGGAACAGTAAAATCTGGAAAACTCCTAGGTTGAGATAAAGACAGTTTAACAGCTGTACATACAAACAAAATGAACCAAGCAATTAATTCACCACTTCCCATGAGCAAACAGGTGTTCAACCATCTCAAAGAGAGCAGGGCCCCATCACATTGACTTGAGAAGACAAACACCATCACTCCAAGCATCTCCCCCTTCCTCCTTCTTCCCCCCACTTTCTATACTAAGCATGGTATGGAATGAATATCCCTTGAATCCCATGAATATCCCTTGAATCCCATGAATACCATCCATGATATGGTATGGAATATCCCTTTGGTCGGTTGGGATCACCTGTCCCAGCTGTGTCTCCTCCCAACCTCCCATGCATCTCCAAGTTGCTTGCCAGCGTGACAGTACATATAGCATAAAAGGCTTGGGCTGTGTGTGAGCACTGCTCAGCAATAACAAAAACATGTCTATATTATCAACCCCGTGTTCAGTGCAAATCCAAAATGCAGCCCCATACCAGCCACTGTGAAGAAAATTAACTACTCCAGCCAAAACCAGTCCACTGGAGAGCCTCGCAGCGGGGCTGTGAAGTGGGTGTCCACAGCCAGCCTTGCAGAGCTGCTAAGTCCCATGCAGAGATGCTTTCTGTAGGAAGTGCTAGATGGCTGCATGTGGGAAAGATGAGGGTTGGGGAAGGTGGTTTTGTTCTGCCTGGATCCCAAGCTCGCATGTGGGCTTGCCTGGGCCCACACTGTGGTCTGCAGGTGAAGTGCAGTGGTCAAGCTCTGCAATCCAAGCAAAACTATGCATATCTTTAAAAAAATTTGCTATGTCAAGTAAGTGGTGATTCTTATGCTGACGTTTGAATTTTGTGCTTACATGAATCTCCTTTCTATAGATGTGGAAATGGCAAATAAGAATGCCCTGAAGGGACTCATGGTTTTTAATTTTTGTTTAACTTTAACTTTGTTTAACTTTACCTGTCACTAGCATGATTATTACTGGCTGCCACATTTTCCAGTCAGTGTACATCACGCTCACAAGTGTTTCCTTGGTATCCTTAAGAGTCCTGTGACATAGAGTGTATGGAATCTGCTGGATTCAGTGTAGCACTGGCAGTTTTCAGGACTGTAGGAAGCTAAACTGGTAGTTAAAAAAAGAAGAAATATCTCAGGGAAACTAAGCTCACATTCAGTGACAGAACCAAAGTTAAGCTACAAAACTATTCCAAGTACTTTAGCTGTCTTTGCCTGTGAGAGTTAATATTGTTAGTATGCAACCCACTCATACTGCAATATGTTGTACATGCAGGCATCCTCTGCATTGCAATATATGCACTGCCATGAATGTGCCCCTCTCATGGTATTTAATAATTGAGCAGTCTGTTGGAGAGACCTTGAGTCTCATACAGGTACAACTTCTTACAACAATCTATCTACCTGGCTTTTCAAAGCATGAGATCAGTGCTGTTGTTTAAGCACTGCTGGTCAAATATTCTTCATGGAGTCACATTAAAATAAATTTTCTTCCACCTGCTTTTTTGACAGTACTGGCTATTTATTGCACTGAATGCCAGCCTTTTTAGATGTAACACTGTATAGGAAACATTCTTTCAAAGTATAAAAACAGACAGCAGGCCATTTCTAGTCCAGTATATTGTGAAATGAAATGTTACATGAATTCTTGATTAAAAAAAATATTTATTATAAGTTCATGACCTTCAGTAGGCAGAAAATTAGCTTGGGATTTAGAATATGGAATTCCCATTATTGTCAGGTTTTGGGTGAGACTGAGAAAACATAATCTCTCTGAAGTTTTCCTACCTGTGAGTAGAGATAGTGATTTTGATGGGCTTTATAAAATGGTCTAACATAACATTAGGTCTGTGTAGAATCAGGAGATTAGATTTGATGAAGCACTGAGTAGATATTCATAAGACAAAGCTCTCAAAAATAACGCTTTGAAAAAATGGGAGGAAATTAACGTTCAGATTTGTCTTGTCTTGTTTTGTTTTCTTTTTGTTATATTGATTTCCAGGCTTTCACCAGTGAATTTCACAATCTTCATTCATTGAAATACTAAGAATGCATTTTTTAATACCTGGTAGGTATAATCAGGTAAGACAAAATAAAAATTCAAAGTTTTCTAGTCCCAGTTTTGTACAAGAAACACTGAATTACTTGACACAGATGAGGTACACTCCTTCGTTCTCTTTAACTGATAGAATGCTATAAAAAAAGGTCTCAGATCACATAGATGCAGGCACAAATGAGGCCAAACTGATGCTGCTTAAAACATGTCAATTCTGCATTCCCTGGCTTCTGTGTGTCTGCCTTTCAACTAGAAAAATATTTTTTGGTCTCTTTTTTTATTTTACTATTAAGAATCTACTTAGAATTTAGATTGTCACTGTCAGTACTAGTGCAACTTCCTTTTATTTCAACAAAGACTTCAGGGACAAATTGGAAGAGGTCCAAACTGGGACTTGGTGTCCAGCCCATGGTTTAATTCCTGAAGAGAATACAATTTCTGGACAGTAGAATGCTATTGTTTATTCTCCTTCAAGTGTGCCAATTGTTTTCTTGCACATTGTAGCCATCACAACCACAGGGAAAGCAAAATGATATATTTGAAGGCAAATTAGCCAGAAAAAAAAAATTAATAGATGTTTCCTGGCACCTCTGAAGGTAACCACACCAAAGTAGTCTCTCAAAAATTTGTCTAATGGCTCAACCTTTATCAAAAACAGGAGATATCAGATATCAGAGAACATAACGTACTTTTGGAATTGGGCATTACATAATGCCCATACTCTTAAGCTTTTATTATAAAAGCTTAACTACTACCACTAGCCATTACACCAGGACTGGAATAGTTATTGTATCTTCCATGTAAGAGGCTGAAGATTTTGTATGTGTGGACATTTTCCTTTTCATACTCTTCCTTCTCCCTATAAAGAGACATTCTCAAAGGCCAAATAAATGAGATCATTGGGATACAAGGATGTAGGTTGAAATCTTAAATACTTGCACGAGGACATTACCTCAATATCCGATCCTGAGAATCTCTAATCTATCTGTTTATATTAACAGTGTCACAGTGTCCCTGAAAAGCAGGGAAGGAGTTGGGGTTTTTTTGTTTGTTTGTTTGGGGGTTTTTAATTTCATAAAGGAGGACTAAAACCCAAAGAGTAAGGCTGGACTCCTGAAGTCAGGTGCCCAGGCTTTGCCAAACCTGGTGCTTAACAACATTGTCAGTATAGAGTTAGCACACTCAGTATGAAGGAACTCTGAAAAGAGAGTTCATGGCTTTATCTACTCTTAGACTCTCTGCCTTTTCCTGAAGGCAAGCAGCTGTGCCCTTCTCACAGTCCTAACTGAGGTTCAGTCCTCTGT